TCAAAGTTCAATATTGCCGAGCATAATCCTTCATGGAATGATAAAAGCGTTGAGTGGAGTTGCAGAGTCATCCTACATGGCGGCATTTTTTCATCACAACGGGTGTCAGGTCTCTTGCATTATCTGAACCATCAAATATTCTAAATTAAAATGAAAACGTGGCAACGCTGTAAAAGAGGTTTTCCCATTTCCCAGAGCAAGCTGCGATCCCGAAACGCGTAGGTGCCTGAAAATAAGAGTGGGGACGTGAGGGTAGGTCAAGTACGTAAAAAGGTTATCCCACCTACACAGAAAAAGGATGAAGAATATTTTACTTGTCTGCTAAGTGAAACTTGAGAAACGCAATTTCATACGTCCAGGAATCTCTACTATATTATGAAAATTATAAAGATATTATAAATGGGAAAAGTGTGGATGTTTGTTAACGGATCTTGAAATTTGGTACAGAAATAGATTATAGTCTGGAATAGCTTATATATGCTACCTTTTATTTCAGGAAATAAATGAAATTTCTATTTCATGGGCTACAGCCCAAACGGCTTAATGAAATTTGAAGTATAAGGTGTAAGGGCATATAAATAGAGCATTTGCATCGTGCACTTACTGCATTTCGACATTTGTATTCTTGATTAGATTTCTTTGGTGTTTTATTTCACTTTACGTAGGACACTAGGAATAAATAGTTATTGGATTATTTGTCGTACAATCTCACACATATATAGGCGGGTAAGGTCTGTTATCTAGCAAATTCTAATGCTCTCATGCGGTGTGGTTCGATATCTTCTCTATACCGAATGGTTCAAATTCTACCCTCAGCAGTGGGAATTGGGAACCGATAACAGATACGAAGTCGTTTAAATGGAGGCAAAGTTGGATATTTAGATAACTAATAAAATGCCAGGGAGAAAGTTTTGAAATTTAAAATACTTCCGGAGAGTGACGGAAAAAACCGAATTTTCCCAAAATCGTTTTGATTTTCTCCTGACTTTATTTGTAGTGGGATTTTTAAATAAACTGTACATCAACAATGCTACTTTTCCTCCTATACAAGATGGCATAATCAGAATTTCATTATAACTTTTTTCAACCTTTCTTTTATGGACGCCATATTGGATTTTTACCCAGTAAACAATTTTAATTCTGATTCCAAAAATGTATAACGTGATAAACATTGAAATTGTCAAACCTATTCTACCTCATAAATCAAATTTTCCAGAGTAGGCCTTGAAATTATCAGAAAGTCATTTGTTTCGTATACCAGAGGTTCACGGCGAAATCATTCTTATTTTTTCCTGACTATTTGAGATGGAATTTAAAAATAAAATGCATGCTGTCATCACCGCTTTTTGTCCTCTACAAGATGGTTTGGTCAAGTTTTCAATCGACTTACAGACGTTTTATGTTGCACCAGCTGTTACCCGCGATTTTGTACGGTGGAACTGTTACTAACAGCCGCAAGCAATTTTTTTAAAAATACCTAATATTTCTGAATTTTATTGCACGATTTTAATCTTTTAAAACTTCGAGTCAGTTCATCAAGGTTTCACGAGCTGTGATACATACGGTGATGTCCAAATTTAGCTGACGTCGTAAGGTGTACGTGACAGAAGCGCGAAAAGCGTGCAATAGGTGTTACAAAGAGTGCGGCGTTGGCACCCGTGACCTCGTACACGGGGTGCTGGGCAACGAGATGCTTGTATCTCTTTTAAAACATGTATTGCACACTCCTTTCTCAAACACATTACGACGTCAGTGGTATTTCGTTTTCAGAGTTATAGTGTCGCACCAGCTTGACGAAACTGAATGTTCTTAAATGAAATGAGATATCGTAGCGTTATTTACGATAATTTGTCACAGCTAATTACTATATGGTTAGTGTCTTAAGGTCCTATGTCATGATACGAAATTTTGTGCTCAATTTAGTATGCTAAATTTCGTACAAAATTAAGGATAGTGTCAGACAGCATTTAGTACATAATTTTGTATGAACAAATTTAGTGCAAAATTTTTTAGAACCTGTTCTAAATAATATGATATTAAAAGTGCACAGACGACTACTACCACTACTGTGCATTTGGAGTAGTTCAATGGTTGAGGTAACCTCAAAAACTTTCATTAGTTGATGTTATCAGTTGTGTTCATCAGTTTTGCAAAACTCTCCTGCTTATGCTGTTCTGTTCTACTTATAGATTAAAAACTTGAAAGATGTCATGATCAAAAGAGCAGCAAGGCCTATAAAAACATAAAAGCCAAATAAGCTACGTTGGATAAAATCAGAATGACTTTAGAACCAATTAGGCTTATAAGCTAGTGGATCCTCCATTAGACGTTCTTTATTCAGCGTATGGAGCACACCCCATGCCCTGGTCCTTCTCCCTGATCCATTTTCGGCGCCAAATTGTTTTACGGTTTCGTTTACCTCGTTTTCTCATGAGGTGGGTAACTACAACGCAGATCGCTGCTGCCGCAGATACATATAGTATATGTGAATGACGCGATAGCTTCATTTTCTAAAATGTTATATTCGTTTAAAGTAACAAAGGAATAAAGTAGCAAGCTGCATAGGATCGAGGGGTTAGAATGACTTTGACGTGATGAATGGCAGTTAGAAGTTGACAGTTATAGTTTTTTTTTCTACCAACTGCGCATGATTTCGTACGAAATTTAGTTCAAAAATTTCTTTACGTGTCAGACAGGATTGTAATTGGTAACCAAATTGGGAGTTAAATTCAGTAACGAATTTTTTCCCGTAATTTGCTACCAAATTATTAACCAAATTTTGTATCCTGTCAGACGGCCTTCATAGATGACGCTGCATATAGATAGATCGCCATCTATGAGACGCCCGAATATAACACTAGGTTGGCTATCTACAGGTAGAATATGCTAATCAATGGTAATACAATATTAATAATATCATCTGGAGTTTAATTATCATAGATGCAAACACATGGCAAAACTAAAGCGTTTCAAACAGACTGTTAATGAATGTCATTATTATATATGTAACAGAGGATTCTATTTTTGTCAGAATCAAGCACTAATTGCAAATCCATAAACTTTATAATTTTATTCAGCTCATATAGATGATAAATAAAAAACAAATCAGACCTAAAAACGAGCTACCCATTCCGTGACAAGTTCAAACCTGCATAAAATATCATGCAGCAAAATCTGCGCGTGTTAGCGTGCAACAGCCAACCTATAAATTGCGAATGCCGGGACAAATCACGCGAAATCCCTTTATTTCCAGCACAGGTCCACCCTTGACCTATTGACTTGTTAAACTTTGACAACTTAGATTTTAGCGAAAATATAGCAACTGGCATCCTTCATAAACTGGTGATTCAACCTGTGACATGATGGGCTTGTCATTATTTGTAATTCTGTTCTGGAAGGACGATAATTAGTCATGATGGAAAAAAATGGCTTCAAGTAGATTGAATCTGCACTTCCCACCACTTTGAACAAATAAACATTGCATATGTAGCATGTATAGTATCTGAGTCAACTTTCATACCTTCTAGTATCTTTACTATTCGCCGACCATGAAAACCCTTCATATATAAATAAATAATCGACTCATGATGCAAATATCTTGTTAACTTCACCCTACGTCGTCGTTGGCCTCGATAACTGTGCGGCTAAATTCTGATCGGACCGTCCGCAGGTAAAGGATATCGGGTTTTCCTGGTAGCTGGAGTCAGACGTAAGTATTATGCCAAAAATGTGTGACTGTGTGTCTAACAGGTGGAATCACAAATTCCTGAATATAAAGATGCAACTGATACCAAACAGACAGCTAAATGTTTTCGTCCTTGGTTTAGTAGTAACTTTGTGTAAAAATTTCATTAAAATCCGACCGGTAGTTTCCAAGTTATAGTTGAATCAAAGATTAGCGGGCAGACGAAAATGAGTGATTTTTCGTGATGACTCTGTACACCTAAGAATGCGAGGTCCTGTATCTGGGAAGCTAGCCATCGTAGAGGTTTGCGGCAAAAAAGTGCTTACTAAAACGGCCCAGAGAAAAACCTGGAAAATATTTTCAAGTTTCCGAAATGGCCGCTAGGGGGCGTAACTGCAATCTTGAATCTAAAAAAGTGATGTTTCTGATAAATCTGAATTTTTGTGATATCTCTAACAATAAAGTGGTGGGGGAATTCAAAAGTTACCGTAAAAAACACCCTGTATCTTCGAAACGGCTGAGCTGATTTTAACTAACTTGGACTAGTTGGAAAGTGCTATTCTTGGGCTAAAAATGTTATAATATTTGAAGTTTTGTTGTTTTTACATGTGGCCGATAGGGGCTTTTTACGAAAAAGTAGCTAAAGACTGAAAACACTATATGCTAATTAAGTAATTTTTAATTTTAAACTAAGGGAAATTTTGTATTCATCTTTGGTTATGCCCATTTTCAACTACTGTAATATTTTATATTATCCGTATCTTGATGTTATTACTAGAAATCGGGTTCAAATTGTGCAAAATAATTAGCTAAGTTCATCTGGGGATTAAGCCTTTGGCCACGTTTCAGGTGGTCTTGTAAAATTTAACTTATGCAAGCCTATGCACTTAAGAGAAAAGCTGATCATTAGGCATAATATGATACTCGTAGACATATTGGATTTCCAAATATGATAACTACTTATATTCAGTTTGCATCCTCCTTCTTTCAGGTACAGTGCTGCAGTTTTATACAATTCTTTGAGTCTTGAATTTAAAAACATGTCCCTAAATTGCTTTGAGACAGCTGTTAAATCTCAAATCAGCTTGGATCCATAGTTTAAATATGTTGTTGTTCTTGTCTTTGTTGTTAATTTTTCTCCTTTCTTTATTTGTTTATAACTTTTGCGCAACATATTTTTTTTGCAAGTGTAAGAGTGGCGTGTAGCTAAACTTCGCCACCATTTGCAACTATTTTTTTTTATGTATTGTAATGTATATTTTCAATAAAGATGATTATTATTATTATTATTATTTTATCGAAAAAATGACAATACCTGTTTCGGTGTGTTCTAATCTACTCTTCAACTCTTCTAAAGTGTTGTCCTTTAATAACGGGGTGCCCTTCGTCAAGTCCTGTAACAGAATCAACAATTCATATTACGATTAAAAAAATACGTACGACGATTTTTTGATTTTTTATGCCTACTTTCAATATCCTTATCTAATAACCTAACAGCGCACTTATTTCACCAAAGATCCCAATCAAACTGACAGTCGTACTTATTGCTTGAACGAAAATTAGCATACACTTATGCTCACAATTATTCGCCGGAAGCGAAGTGCATAGTGGCGGGGGCGAATCTAACGCAGCGCACACGTTGATCAAAAATAGAAACATAATCGCAGTGGTTGTGGAATATAGTCGTGGTCTAAAATGGTAAAATCTGTGTCATCTAGAGTCAACGGATTCGGACTAGGTAGAAGGAGTAAGCCTACAATTTGTTGGTGACAAAAATTGCGTAGTCAGTAGTCAGGTTACAAGTTCATACTACAAGACTATCAAGCTTAAGCCTCCAGTTTGACAATTGATGACATTTCACATTAGATTCGAATTTTTCTACAATCCTAGTGATCCAGATAATTACCAAAAATGATGACTGTTTCCGTGGAATGCAAAAAGCGTTTTAAAATGAGCATATTATATTTTTATCGATAAGAGTTAATATATTATAGTCATCGCGTTGCGAACGAGCATATACCCCAACGTTTTGCTTTACCTGGACAATAATTATTGTGATTTATTTCATTCCATTTTTTGTTTCTTTGAGTGTTCAGTACCAGTCTAAGGTTTATTAACATAACTGCATACCTAACAACAACATTGAAAAAATGCAAAATGTTAGAAAACAAACAAAATTTTTTGATACATACTGAAAAGGGCGAACTATTAGAGAACAGTAATCGATCAGATAGTCAGCTCTCCTCTGAATAGCATCGGAACATGGATAATGTAGTCGGAACGGCAGCACCCCAAACATGTGAGCAGTACTCGAGACTAGATCTTATCTGGACCATGTACAGAGTGAAGAGGAGACAAGTACTTCTTAGCCCTTAACAGGTAGCCTGGCTTTTTCATAGCAGCTGCCGCTATTGACGAGATGTATTCGTGCCAGATCAAGTCCCCAGTGATCTGGACTCCGACCAGCCGAAATGTACGGGTATTGGTAGAATTCGGCCATCCATCGAAACCCAATGAGAGCCTCTCGCGAGACAGGAAGTCGCTGCTATTCTTCTCTGTCACTCTGAATTCCTGCTCTATCATGCTGTCATTAACAAAGCTGTGGATTGGAAGCATGATCCCTGGGGAACAGCCGCGTTGACAACGTGCGATGAAGAGAACAACCGGTCAATTAAGACAGATGTCTTGCCCCAAGAGAGACAGTCACCCATCTGCAAAGGTTTCCTAAAAGACCATAAGATGGAAGTTTGCATAAGAGGGCAGCATGCCTCAGTTCGGCGAAAGCAACGACATGAGCCTCACCATAATAGTGGATGAGTTTACTCCACAGTTGCGTGACCTAAGCTAGGAGGTCCCCTGTGGATCGCTGGACCTGCCGCTAATCAAGCGGTGACGTTCGAGGTACTCCAGAAGCTCCTGATTTATGTACCTCTCTATCACCTTACTTATAACAGAAAGCAGAGCTGTCGGCCTGTAGATGTAAGAGTCGGTCTTTAGAGCCTTTTTTGAGTTGGGTTTTACATGAGTAAATTTGGATGTTTCCTAATTGAATCTTAATATTTTAGGGGACGATTTTTGGGCCGATTTTAAGAAGAAAGCTCCATATGAACGTAGGTCTTAAACGTCTTAACTTTTGAGATACAGGGCGGAGAAGTTTTACCAGAAATAAATCATGTAAGCACGCGACTGACTGTACTTAAAATGAAAAAATTGAAATCTATATTCATTTATGTGCAGACTTCATCTCTTGGTGAAATAGTCATAAACGATAATGTTATGACCATGCAGAGAAACGGTTACTTTTTTAAGAGAAAACCATACATCGGACTGAAAAAAATCATGCGACCAAGTTTGCTTAGTAATGATTGGGGATTTCAAGGATATTTTTTTATTTTAAGTGACATCAGTGGCGTACCAATTCCACTTGTGGAAATGAAAAAATGTCGTAGATAAAAAAATGTCTCTTGATGTACATCTATGCCAAATTTCATTGGAATGTCTAAAATGGTATTACAAATCCTAATAATAAATGAGTTATTTTCGGAAACTTTACCACCCTGTGTCTCAAAGGTCTAGGACGTACGTTCATATGGAGTTTTCTTCTTAAAATGGAACCAAAAATCGTCCCATTCAATATAGACATTTAATTAGGAAACTCCCTGTATAATAAATTCTAACTCTGTACACAAAATTAGAACTATCACGTCATACGCACAAACCTCGAACACATTTTCCAATCACATGAATTCCATTTAAAATGGAGCAATTATAAATCATAGTAACCTAGAGTATGTGACAAGTAAATCGTTCTTCACAGAAGCAAAATAAAACAAATTCTCTATCGTATTTCATGGACTAGAACGAAGTATGTTCGGCATTCGAAACACATTTGAATATGTGGGTTAAGCGTGCGTGAAATGATTTTCAACTTCGAACAACTGCTACTTGCTACTACTTGTCATTGTCGTTTATATGCTAACTAACATCGGAATATGCTTAACGACCCAGAAGAAGTTGTGTTTTAATAGATTTACACTGCAAAAATAGGTTTGTAATCCATAACATCACCTGAAGATAGACAACCTAATAGCATATTTGTCGTGACCATATCGTAGAATTGGCCACTTCATGAAACGAAATCAGTTCCAGATCCAGAACATATTACGAACTATTTTATTGTTCTCCAAGTACCACAAAGGTTTTTATTAAAACTAGTAACTTTAGGGAATTAAAATATAGTACTCAAATCAAAACAATCTCATATTGCACATTTCGTCACAGACAAAATTGTTGATCATAAATATCAGATATAACAAATTAGATTATTACCTCGGGTAGTCACTCTCGTTTATATCAGGTATAACCTAAAAATGGAATAAATTTTTTTAGATAAGTAAAATATTATAGTAGTTTAACAGACAAACACAATATTTTAGCTGGCATACGATTTAGACTTCAAATAAGTGAAGTGAATAATAATGTAATTTAAGTATCTACTGTAGTAGCACATTCCGAATTCCACAGGTTTTTGACGTTTTGATCAGTATTTGCATGACCCGCATAGTACTCGAGTATCTTTTAGTCCTAAAATATTTTAAACTCACTTCATTCCTCATTTGATAATAAATTATTCAAATTTTCACTTCGAAAAATAGCTTTGTTATTAACGACCGCCGTGTTTGAATGTAAACAAAGCGTCACCAGCGCCTCTATCGTTAATCAATGTAATTATTTTACGATTTGATCAAACATGCTTGATCATTTCATGAAGAAGCCGCGCGCTTAGTTGATCATATTGTTAAGCAATTTGGTATCATTGATCTGGTCAACACACATCATGATCTGGCCAATAGATATATTTCATGAAATGCGTCCATCTCATGAAATGATCAATTTTACGGTATGGCCACGACATATTCACCGAAAAATTATCCAAGATACTTATAAAATGAGATACCGCAGTGTCATCTATGCAAATTTGTCACAGCTATCTTTCTCTTCTCCGCAATAATTTGAAAAGTGTCTAGTGGATGCCGCGGTAGCTATATACTCGTTTATACACAGTAATGGACAAAAGGATATAGACAAATATGAATATTTACCTAAATACTAAAACGAATTCATACTTCATTGCTCCATGAACAGATGCGTTATTAGTAGAAAAACTAAATTTCTTTTTTTTGACATTAACTGCAATGAACACAATACAAGTCTGAATATAAGCCCTTTTTTATGAGGGGCAAAAATATGTAGAAAAATTCTTTTCAACATTAGTTTAGTACAGTTTCGTGTCAGAAGACGATTAGTTTGTGTTCATTAAGTATTGTGGAATAAGTTGAGTGATTTTAAGACCATGCCGCGTGAGCCGATTACAATTTGCACGGTTGCATCTTGATTGGAGCATCTGTGACTGGAAGAGGGTATGTTTCAGTGACGAATCCAAGTTCAATATGTTTGGATCAGATGGTGTTCATTACGTTAGACGTCCTAGTGGACAAACATTGAACCACAAGTACACTTTGCCCACTGTCATATATATATATACATTATGGATAAGTTTGTATCCTCAGACATACTAAAGCATGTCATGTTACCTTATATGGAAGACAAAATGCCCTTAAGATCAATTTTCCACCAAGATAATGACCCGAAGCACACTTTAAATCTCGCAAAGAAATTCTTTCTGGATGAAAAAATACCAGTTCTCAAATGGCCTTCACAGTCTCCCGATATAAACCCCATTGAAAATCTATGGGAATACTTAGATAAGCAAATACATATAAGTAGAGACAGATTGATGAATCTTATATCAAGAAACTTCTACAATCTATGCCGAGACGATGCCAGGCGGTGATTGATAATAATGATTATGCTACAAAATATTAACACAAACATGGTTGGTTTATAATTCAATGAACTTTGCTTCTTTTTTCTATAATTGTTTTGCTTTGTCTATATATTTTTGTCCTTCATAGTTCCAGTTTTTTTCAATTAATATTTTATTGAAAAGAGTCTTATGAATTTATTTATGTATAAGTGAGTATTATGCTATAACGAATTATGTATACAGGTTGGTGTATTGATAAAACAAGTTAAAAAAGAAATACAGCACAATATTAATTTGTCTATATACTTTTGTCCATTTCTGTATATATATATATATATATATATATATATAACTTGAGACGTGGTCATTGTCGTCTAGACCAGTTAGGTGAAAAATTAAAGCTTCCGCCTTTTGTTGGGTACTTCGACAAGATTTAAGCAAAGAGGACTCTTTATACTTTTTTTAATTCTCTCTAGCTTTCAATGGACTTTGCCATCATCATCAGGAGCTGCAATTACAATGATAACAGTAGCAACAAAGGTGTAAAATGAATTTAAATTGACTCAA